GTTTTAACTTGCTAAATCCAAATTGAATTATTTTGATTGTGTTGATATGTTGGTTTTTCTAAGTTACTGAAATTAGGATTTAAAACAATCACATTCAAACAATGCTAATGACTTAATAAAGTTTAATTGATAGTTCCGCAATTGCAATTTAATTCACATCTTTTTCCTAAACAATACTTGCTATCTCTATGTGGTGTTTAGGATCAACAGTTATAGATTATTTTATATCTGGTTAAATGCAAGTACTGTATTGTATTAAAAATTTTTATTGTTTCATATCATGCATTACATTACATATTATTCATTATATTACATTATTTTTTCATGTTATGCATTACATTACATTTCATTTATTTATTATTTATTTATATAATAAAAATTTTATTATAAAAGAAGTTAAAAAATAAAAAGTATTTTATTATCTATTCAAAAATTACTTACGGTATTTTTTATTATTTTATATTTTAAATAAAATAAAAAATTAAAAATTAAAAATTCAAAATTCATTATGTCTAAACAAATGTCTAAACAAATGTTTCGACAAGCATGTGTACGTCAAAATAGAGCTCTTAAAAATATAGATGATATAGATAATATAGATAATATAGATAAAATAGATGATTTAGATAATTTAAATGAAATTAATAATTTAACTGATTTGTTTGATCCAACAAAACATAGAATATAAGGTCAAACAAACAAAAGAATTATCTGCTTCAGAAAAATTTCATTATATAAATCAATTTTGAGAAAATGTTGATCTTTATCCAGAAGACTGTATATCATCAAAAAATATAAAAAAACAATGTGATATTTCTTTAAAAGATTTATTAATTTCAACATTAATTGGAGAAATAACCTCTAAAGAAATATCTGAAATTCCTTTAACATATTTAAGTTTAATTGATAATATAATAAAAAATAAAATAATTAATAAAGATGATCATGAACAAGATGATGAACAAGATGATGAACAAGATGATGAACAAGATGATGAACAAGATGATGAACAAGAAGATGATGAAGATGATGAAGATGATGATGAAGAAGATGATGAAGATGATGAAGATAATGAAGATGATGAAGATGATAATATTAATAAAAAATCATGGAAATCATTTGGTAAATGGTTAGGTTTAAAAAAACCAATTAAAAAGAAAACAATCAGAAAATTTATTAAAAATAAATAGAGAAGACTTTACCATGATTTAAAAAGTCAAAAAAATCAAAAAATAATATTTGATGTTAATATTATTAATAAAAATATTATATCTAAATCATTAATTGGATCAGCAAATCAAAATAATAATACATTAAATAAATTAAAAAATTATTATTATTTAACTAAATCTGAATGTATTGTAGATCAAAATAATCAAACATTAATACATTTAGAAAATATTAATAATAATAATATCATTTTACAAGCAACAAAAGCTGTTAATGATTATTATTTTCATACTTTAGATAATCCATCTCATAGAAGTGACTCTTTTTGGAAAGATATGGCAGAACATTTTGGAGCTTATAGAAAATATACTAGTTTTCCTTATATTAGTGCAGATATGGCAAGTAGTCATAATATAAATCATTTAGAATGTGTAAATAAATTAATTATTGCTCTTGAACCATTATCAAATTGTGTTAATCAATTTGTCAAAGAGCATTATAATAATTTATACACAAAATTAAGCAATTTTTCTTGGGGTCCATTTGCACCAAGATCTTTTGGAATTTTTCCAATGATTGCTATTAATTTTAATACAATAAGTGATTTTCATTGGGATAAAAATGATGAAGCCAATTGTTTTTGTATTTTAATTGCTTTAGGAGATTATGAAGGAGATGAAATATGTTTTCCTCAACTTAACATTGTAATACTTTTAAAACCAGGACAAATTTTAGCATTTCGTTCTCGTTTATTATTATATGGTAATTGTATATTAAGTAAAGGTATTAGACATAGTATTGTTTATCATTTACATAAAGTAATGTTAGGTTTATCAGAATCTTCTATTATTAAAATCAATAATGAAGAAAATAATTCTTCTAAAGATAATATACAAAAACTATTTAAAGCTCCTAAAAATTTGTCAATAAAAAAATTTAATAATCCAAAAAAATTTCAAACTAAAATGGAATTATCTAAAGATGAAAGAAGATCTAATATTGGTAAGTAATATTTTAAATATTATTATATAAAAATTAAAATAATTTAATTTAATAATAATTTTTTTTTAGATTTAAAAAGAGCTAGATTTGGCTTAAAAGCAGAAAATAAAATTAATTAATTTTTATAATTTTTTTATATATAATTATTTTTATTTATATAAATATATGTATTTTTAATTTAATTAATTATAACAATAATAAAATATATTATTATTAAAATTTAATAATTTAAGTTTAAAAGCAAAAATTAATATTATATTTTTTATAAAAATAAAATTAAAAATAAAAAAAAAATTATCAAAATAAAAATTTTTGTTATATAAGATTATAAAATAACTTATAAAAGAAATATAAAAATAATTAATTACCTTTAAAAGATATTAGATTATATTACAACTAATGCATGTAAATTAAAATTTTTTTCATATATGTGAAGTTATAAATATCAAAATATAAATTTTTTTAAATAATGAGATTAGAGGGAAGTATAAATAATTCAATTATACAAATCAGTATTATTAACTAAATATTAAATTTTATTGTATATTTATCGATGCAAAACTGCTGCACTTAAAAAAAATTTATGTTTCTAGCATTTATAGTTAATGAGTTATTAATTTTTAAAGATACATCAAATTTTATTGTATATTTATTGTAAAATAGAAAACCGACTTATTTTTTTTCTAATCAGTCTTTGCATATAGTAATGCATAGTTCCCATAAAGTTCTTAATCAAAGATCATCAAAATACTTACAAAGTATATTCTTTTTTAATGAGATTGTCTTACACAAGTTACATATACAGTAGCTCATAAAAGAAACGTAACCACTATTAGTTACCTTTAAAAGCTTATAACAGGTTAATTATTAGAGCTAAAATCATAATTTTATAAAACCTAAATCTTGAAGAATAACCTGATATAATTTTTTTTTCTATTAATATGCAATTGGCTAGAGGTAAGCAGAAAGCATATCCTCAGTAGAACAAGTTTAATCTCATGTTAAATTACCTTTTTGAGTCTTCAAGAATAATCTGATTTAATTTTATTTTTTTTAAAAGTGCGGCAGTTTTGCATAAGAATAACCTGATATAATTTTTTTTTTTTTTTTGAAGTGCAGCAGTTTTACATGATCTTTATTAAATTTATAAAATACTAGGTACATATAATAAAACAGAAAATACAAAAATATCTATAAATTAATTTATAAACTAAACTACTTTATCAATACTAACCTTGCACTTTACCGAACTAGACTATAAACAGAGAAGAAAAGAAAAGAAAACTTAACCAAACTAAACTATTGTACAGCTATCAAACGTCTGAAAGGGAAGGCGTGGTTACTGCCATTCTAAAAATTTGACTAGTGTGAGCCATACGCGGTAACCGCTAAAAAAAAATAACCTGATATAAATTTATTATCCAGTTAATAATACCAAATTTGTGTAATTTAATGATTTACATCAAAATTTCTTACTTAATAAACTTTAAGCATAGAAAATTTTTTTAGTAGGTTTGCTGCTATAAAACTGACACTAGATTCAGATTTTCTGTAGTGCAACAATTCTAATAAGCTAAATTTCGTCTCAATTAAACCTGTAGATCATGAGAAAATTTCTGATAAAAGATTATTTGATACTATATAAAAAATTAGATAAAAAATTTTATATAGTGCTAGACGATCTTTAATTATTAATTTTATCGTGATCTACAGGCCTGATTGGAACGAAATTTAGCTTGTTAGAATTGTTACACTACAGAATCACTGTAAAGAAGATTTACGTGAATTTATTTAATTTTTT